ATCCTAAACGCAAACCCTAAACCCTAAACCCCAAACCCTAAACCCTTGGGGCTGCCAGGTCTCCGATCCCACCTCCCTTCCCGTCCTCCAGCGTAGTGGAGAAGCGCGAGCCCAACGCCTCCAAAGGAGACAGGGTTTAGGGTTTAGGGTTTAGGGTTTAGGGTTTAGGGTTTAGGGTTTAGGGTTTAGGGTTTAGGGTTTAGGGTTTAGGGTTTAGGGTTTAGGGTTTAGGGTTTAGGGTTTAGGGTTTAGGGTTTAGGGTTTAGGGTGTATGGTTTAGGGTTTAGGGTTTAGGGTTTAGGGTTTAGGGTTTAGGGTTTAGGGTTTAGGGTTTAGGGTTTAGGGTTTAGGGTTTAGGGTTTAGGGTTTAGGGTTTAGGGTTTAGGGTTTATGGTTTAGGGGTTTAGGGTTTAGGGTTTAGGGTTTAGGGTTTAGGGTTTAGGGTTTAGGGTTTAGGGTTTAGGGTTAGGGTTTCGGGTTTCGGGTTTAGGGTTTAGAATTAGGGTTTAATGTTCCACCTGCTTTAGTGTGTGCCCCCCCCAAAAAAAAACAAGCCGAAGCGGTTTTTGTCCCTGTTTACACGGTCCGGGGGGTTTATATTATTTTAATAGGGCGGAGTTTGAAAGGGGCAGCGATGGCCGGCAATTCGTTTTGAAGGCGGGACGCGTGGAATTTTCTTTCGGTGCCCGGTCGTTTTGACTTAATTCGGGATCCCACCGCGCACCCCCAAACAGTCAGGGTGCCCTGAATAGCCATCCAAACTGACTTAACAGAGGGCCCCCACTCAAGCAGGTGGAACATTAGGGTGTAGGGTGTAGGGTGTAAGGTTTAGGGTGTACGAGTATGGGCTTGTACCCGCAAGGCCTCTATCCTAACGCGTTGTCCTTCGAGAAAACTCAGAATTTCACCACTGACCAATATGATGGCCAAATTATCAACGCACACTCCTCCACTCGACACCCTAAACCCTAAACCCCTAACCCAAAACACTACGCCCTAAACACCAAGCCAAACCCTAAACACTGCAGCGAAGGGGTGAGGGAGCGCATGATAGACACCCGAAGTAACACCCCAACACCCTACCCTAAGCCCTAAGCCCTAAGCCCTAAGCCCTTAGCCCTAAGCCCTAAGCCCTAAGCCCTAAACCCTCAACCCTAAACCCTAAACCCTAAACCCTAAACCCTAAACGGGCTTAGGGCCTAGGGCTTCGGGGTTCTGGCTTGGGAGGCCTTTGGGGCCGAGACCTTATAAGGCGTAGGGCTGGCCCAGGGCTGAGGGCTTAGGGCGTAGCGCGCAGGGCTTTCACGCCTCAGGGCTTGGGGCTTAGGGTTGAGGGCCCTAGGGGTCTTAGGGGTCTTAGGGGCCTTAGGGGTCTTAGGGGTCTTAGGGGTCTTCGGGGTCTTAGGGGTCTTAGGGCTCTTAGGCCTCTTGGGGCTCTTCGGGGTCTTAGGGCTCTTAGGGCTTCTGACACCCTACGCCCTAAGCCCGAGGCCCGAACCCCAAAGCCCTGAAGCCTCCACGCCCTGGGCCCTAAGCCTGTAAGGCTTCGGGGTTTCGGGCTTAAAGCTTTGGGCTTAGGGCTCAGATTCCGAAGCACCAAACCCTAGACCTTAGGCCCGAAGCCTTAAAATTCCGTTAGGCCGCAAAGCCGCAAAGCCACTAAAGACGAGAAGCCGTAATCCAGGAAGCTGAATTGTCCTTTTTTGAGCTCTTTGTTTGATATGTTTTGGATGTATACTTCGCCTGGAGTATCTGTTTGTGTCTTGGGATTTAGGGGTAGGGTGTGCCTCATGGAGGGTCAGCATCAGCGCAGCGTTTCCCACACGGAAGTACTTCCTCAGAAGACTCAAATCAAACGCACCCTGAACCCTAAACCCTAAACCCTAAACCCTAAACCCTAAACCCTAAACCCTAAATCTAAACCCTAAACCCGAAACCCTACTCCAAACATAGCCCGGCCTCTGGAAACTGAAGCCGAGAATCATTGATATGTAAGAACCCTTCGGCCCTCGGTTAGGGGTCTGAAGCGTCTAGTGGCCTGGGGGTTTAGGGTTTAGGGTTTAGGGTTTAGGGTTTAGGGTTTAGGGTTTAGGGTTTAGGGTTTAGGGTTTAGGGTTTAGGGTTTAGGGTTTAGGGCAAGTTTGAGGGTCTATGGGCGGTGCCGCCAGCTGAAGTATGAGTTTAAAGGCTTTAGGAGTCTCAGCGGCGCTTCGGGAAGTTGGGTTGTAGGGCTCGGGTCCGGATTTAAGTTACCATGAAAACCATGTCGAAAGTTTCGTTCATTGCAAGGCATGGGAGGCCGTATGCCGAAACCCTAAACCCTAAACCCTAAACCTCTAAACCCTAAACCCTAAACCCAACACCCTAAACCCCAAACCCTAAACGCTAAACCCTAAACCCTAAACCCTCAACCCTAAACCCTAAACCTCGTGGGACGCCTTGATACTCTGCCGTGCACAGCAGATCTCACTGCGACGCCAACCTGGAAGAACCGTCCTCCTCTGCCAGCAACATGTGGTGTTGCAGCTCGATAGCGCGCTTTCCAATGGAGGCTATAACTGGGTTTAGGGTTTAGGGTTTAGGGTTTAGGGTTTAGGGTTTAGGGTTTAGGGTTTAGGGTTTAGGGTTTAGGGTTTAGGGTTTAGGGTTTAGGGTTTAGGGTTTAGGGTTTAGGGTTTAGGGTTTAGGGCCTATAACCCGCAATATCGTATCTTAGCTAAGCTGCTTGGTTTCAATCGGGGGTCCGGCGGCGTCGGGGACGAAAATCTTCGGAAGCTGAAGAGTGTTGGTATGAGGTATGGAAGATTTGCCTGGAGCAAACTCTCTCCATGCCCCTTAAAACCTTAAGGGAGCTGACAGAATATAGACTTTCCCTAAAGGCAGAAAGGTAAGTCGAAGGATGGCTCAGAAAATGGAGGGCTTAGCGTTTGGATTGAAGGAACTTGGGGCTCGGAGCCCAAGCTTGGTTCCCATGGTGACTTGTTGACTTTGCCCAATTGTCTAGACCCAAGAGAAACCTAGTAGGACCTAGGAGTAAAAAGGCTACCCTTTTTGCTTTACAGGGGCTTTTGAGGGAACCTCAACCCGAAAAATAGGGGCATAGTTGTTGCGCTCATGCTGGAAAAGAGATTTTTGATCGAGCTGGCAAGAGTAAGGCGTTTTTGTGGGGTCTAAACCCTGCAGTGGCTATATGGTCAGTTCTCGAAATGTTGGTCCCTTTTTGGGTTCCCTGAATATTAGGGGCCGCCTTGTAATCGCAACCCGAAAAGGGACCCTAAACCCTAAACCCTAAACCCTAAACCCTAAACCCTAAACCCTAAACCCTAAACCCTAAACCCTAAACCCTAAACCCTAAACCCTAAACCTAAACCCTAAACCCTAAACCCCTAATTTGGAGGAATGACCATGACCATATAAACTTGATCAGACATGTGCAAAGAAAAAAAACGCCATGAGGGTGTAGGGTTTAGGGTTTAGGGTTGAGGGTTTAGGGTTTAGGGTTGAGGGTTGAGGGTTTAGGGTTTAGGGTTTAGGGTTTAGGGCTATAGACCCCCAAATAGTAGAATCCCCTTACAAAAAGGACCCCAATTACCCCTATTTCGGAAACCCCCATTTATGGGTTTTTGAAAAGCCGAAACCCTAAACCCTAAACCCAAAAAACCCTGAACCCGAAACCATGCTGCAAGGTTGGAGGGGTCTCATCCTAAAGTTTGGAGGGGCCCTACTCTGACGGGGTAACCCTAAACCCGAAACATCAACCCTAAACCCTGAACCCGAAACCCTCCTAAAGTTGTCTTACTCTTACGCCGGGGTAAGCCTTAAACCCGGAATACGAACCCTGAACCCTACACGCGAAACCCGAAACCCTCCTAAAGTTTCCGTACGCCTAAACTCCTAGCCCTAAACCCTAAACCTTACTCCCAGTGACCGCCGACTCGTCAGAACTACTCCTACGCCGGGGTAAACCCTAAACCCGAAATCTGAACCCTAAACCCTGAACCCTAAACCCTAACCCCTAAACCCTAAACCCCCCGACTCTTATGCCGGGGAGCTCCTCCAGACCCAGGGTAGCATGGCGGTAGCCCAAGGCGTTCAGCTGGGGCACCAGTCGCTCCTTGTTCTGCAGCCCTGCGGATGGCCAGGGTTTAGGGTTTAGGGCTTAGGGCTATGGGGCTTAGGGTTTAGATTCATAAGGCCTAGGGTTTAGGGTTTAGGTGCCTCTATTTAGGGTTTAGCGTTTTGGGTTTAGGGGTTTAGGATTCAAGTCGGGTCTAGGGGTTCGGGTTTCGGGGGGTGCGGGTTGAAGCGAGCCTGCCACCGCTGTGCCGATTGCCTCAAGAACTCTGGTGAAGTGCTCCAGCACCGGAGCCTCAGTCATGCTAAGTTGGCCTTGCGATGTTCCCCCTTGTACTGACAGCCCTTAGTAGGGAGAATGGTACCCCTACTAAATTCCCCTATGAAGGACTGTTAGTATACGGGGGAACATCCCAAAGTTGGGATGTAACCCTCTCCGAAGATTCCTAAGCAAGATCCTCCAACACCCAAGCGAGGAAGGTATCTGAACCCCTCAATGGTGCATTTTCCAAGCAAAAAAACAAAACTCAACCCGAAACCCAAAAACTTAACCCAAGTTTCCCGATAGACCTCCAAACCCTAAACCCTGTAACCCCCTAAACACGAAACCCAGACAAAGCGAACGGTGTCCCAAATAGGTTTAGGGTTTAGGGTTTCTCAGGGCCCATACTGTAAAGTAGGTGAACCCAAAACTGTTCATCACCAGCTTCCTCCCTTCTCACCCTAAAGCCTTCGTCACAGGCCTGTAGACCCGGGTGCAATATCGTAGCAGTCCAGATAGACATGAGTTTGCATGTCTACAACCCCAAACCCTTAGCGCAAAACCCTAAACCCTAAACGCGAAACCCTGAACCCTCATTAAGCGCTAAAACCCTACACCCCTAGCCCTAAGCCCTAAACCCGAAACCCTGAACCCTCATTAAGCGCTAAAACCCTACACCCCTAGCCCTAAGCCCCAAACCCTGAACCCTAAACCCTAATCCCCAGGCCCCAAACCAAGTCCTTCAGAGTGGAACTGTTTCGTTCCAAACCCCGAAGCCTTGAATCCTTCAGCTTGGCGTCCCAAACGCAGACACCCCAAAGGGTTTAGGGTTTAGGGTTTAGGGTTCAGGGTTCAGGGTTTAGGGTTTAGGGTCTAGGGTCTAGGGTTTAAGGTTTGGGAGAGGAGGCCCTGGTACGGACCCGAAAACCTCGTAGTCTCGGACTTGGGGTGGCGAAGTTTCGGGTGGTCTCGAAGCCCAGAAAGCCCTCAACTGGTAGTCGCAGCTGTAGCAAAGCACTGCCCCCCCCCCCCCCCCCGTTTAGGGTTTAGGGTTGAGGGTTGAGGGTTTCAGGTTTAGGGTTTAGGGTTTACCCCCCCCCCTCCCGGGAAGAATCATGAAGTCGACGCCTGCACTGAAGAGTCTTTCCTTGAGGTCCGGCACATCCACCTCCAAACGGCCCTGCGCAGCGCAGGGTCAGCCAAGCTAAGTTGCCGCCGGCATCATACAAGCCTTCTCGCTCCAGGCAATGCTTGGCATTCCCAGATCTTCCAAAACCCCTTAATTATTAAGGAATATACCCTAAGTCATAATAATGGAAGATCTGGGTTCTTCTACACCCAGATCTCCTTGAAACCGGTTCCCTTGCGCTCGGCAAACGCACGCGCGCTTACAGGAGGCAAGGGCTTTTGGGAGGCCAGGTAAACCTAAACCCTAAACCCTAAACCCTAAACCCTGAACCCTAAACCCTAAACCCTAAACCCTAAACCCTAAAATGCAAGTTCAAGAGACCAGGCAAGGCCTGACTTCGAACCCGGTTTCAAGCTTCAGGTGCCGCTTGTTAGGGTTTAGGGTTTAGGGTTTAGGGTTTAGGGTTTAGGGTTTAGGGTTTAGGGTTTAGGGTTTAGGGTTTAGGGTTTAGGGTTTAGGGTTTAGGGTTTAGGGTTTAGGGTTCAGGGTTGAGGGTTGAGGGTTTAGGGTTTAGGGTTTAGGGTTTAGGCTTGCAGCCTGCAGCTTGTAGGGTTCAGGATGCCGGCAAGCGGCTGGCGGACTCTCGATGGCTTGCTGCAGGTTCAGCTGGAAGAGCCCATCCTGCTCGAGGCTTGACAGTCCGGCGCTCTAGGCTTCAGGGTTTGGGTTTAGGGTTTAGGGTTTAGGGTTTAGGGTTTAGGGTTTAGGGTTTAGGGTTTAGGGTTTAGGGTTTAGGGTTTAGGGTTTAGGGTTTTAGTGTTTAGGGTTTAGGGTTTAGGGTTTAGGGTTTAGGGTTTAGGGTTTAGGGTTTAGGGTTTAGGGTTTAGGGTTTAGTGTTTAGGGTTTAGGGTTTAGGGTTTTTGGGTGTAGGGTTTAGGGTTTAGGGATCAGGTCCCAGTTGGGATGCCCTGAAGACACAGACCCGAAGCATCGTTGCCCTGAACCTGAGCAGCTGCATCCTACGCTCCCTAACGGTGGCTCGCATCTGCGTTTGAGGCCTGCGAAAGTCGGGCCTGGATTTCCTTGAAGGGTTTCGGGTTTAGGGTTTCGGGTTTAGGGTTGCCTTAACCCCTTCAAAGCCCATAAAAGGGCCAACAAATTCTTACCCTCAGGGCGTGGTTTGGGGCTTAGTGTTCTTAGGGCTCTTCATCCAAACTCAAACCTCAATGGGCTCCTTCAAAATCGCACTTGCTGCATCCTGCACCTCTTCCGTATGTGTCAGCCCAGAACTCAACCCTAAACCCTAAACCCTAAACCCTAAACCCTAAACCCTAAACCCTAAACCCTAAACCCTGAAGCCTAGGCCCCAAACCCTAAACGCCAAACAGGAAGCCAAGGACGCCGGGCGCCTCACCAAAATGGCGCTGGAAGGTCATGGGGAACCTCATCATTCCGTGAGGGGGTTAGGGTTCTAGGGTTTAGGGTTTAGGGTTTAGGGTTTAGGGTTTAGGGTTTAGGGTTTAGGGTTTAGGGTTTAGGGTTTAGGGTTTAGGGTTTAGGGGTTCTAGGGTGTCAGGGCTTTAGGGCTTTTATGGTTTTCGGAGTGTAGAGTACTTATTCAAAAAAAGAATCGACCATACAGGGAGCCAGGGTCTAGAGGGTTTGGGGTTTAAGTGCTTCAGGGTGTTTTCTTTTTACCAGCTGAGTATTTTTGAGAGCTTAAACGTGCTTCTTCTCGATTGAAGGGCGACCTGCCCCTTCGGAGAGACCGGGTTCTTGCTTCGCCAAGCCCTAAGCGGCTGTAGGTTCCCTAATCCCAAACCCCAAACCCCAAACCCCAAACCCAAAATCCCAAACCCTAAACCCCAAACCCTAAACCCCAAACCCTAAACCCCAAACCCTAAACTCCAAACCCAAAACCCTAAACCACCCAAACCCCAACCCAAAAATAAGTCCTGAACGAATTGCGTTTCAGGTTTGGGAGTTCTTCGGCCTTGGGGTTTAGGGTGTGGAGTCTGGAGTTTGGTTTAGGCTTTGGGGTTTAGGGTTCAGGGTTCAGGGTTTAGGGTTTAGGGTTCAGGGTTTAGGGTTTAGGGTACAGTGTTTAGGGTCTAGAGTTTAGGGTTTAGGATTTAGGGTTCCTGACTTTTCAGCAGGCGGTTGGGGTTGAGTTTGGGGGTCCGAGTGGCAGCTTCCGGGCTTCTGGGACGAGCTGGAACATGTGCCTCGGCTTCGGGACATGTTTAGGGTTTAGGTCGGGCACTTAAGGCTTCGGGGCGTTTAGGGTTTTAGGCTGCTGCGGGGACATAAACGCTTAGGGGGTTAGGGCTTGGGAATTAACACTAGTAAACCGATGAGACCTTAACATTTTGAATACGGGCTTACATTTCCATGATTAACTTATGATATATTATGCCCGTCGTAAAATATGAGTCTCACTTCGTTCACCCACGGGATACTTCATATATTCATACGCCTGGGTATTCACTTCGTAAACTTACTAAGGGTCACCAAAAAGAGAAACAAAACACGTGCCCCATTAAACGCCGAGAATTTGAGCATTAAATTCGTGCGTCTTTTCGTTCCTTACAAATTAATATCAAAAGTATATGGTCTTTTCGCAAGGCTTTGGTTTTAGGGTTGGGGGAGTGAGGGTCTTCATGCGTAGAATGTAGGGCTTAATTAGGGAAGTATATAAACATGGACTGGCTTGGGTGCTTGGTGGTTCTGACCAAGAAATATAACCCCGGCCCGGTTTCGTTTGTCGGCGTTAGGACACGGTACCTTTACAATGTTTTCGGTTTAGGGTAGAGGGTACATTAGCTACCCAAATGCCATGCAGTACTAAAAAGGGCTTGTGGAGCCCAATTCCATAACACAAAATGAACCCTCACACCCTGAAACCCGAAAGCCCCCCTGCGCTGCGCAGCTTGCTGGGATGTCTTAGACAGCTGACGCAGTGATAGCCTGTGCACTGCACATGCTGGCTGAGGGTTTAAGGTTTAGGGTTTAGGGTTTAGGGCTTAGGGTTTAGGGTTTAGGGTTCAGGGTTTAGGGTTTAGGGCTTAGGGCTTAGGGTTTCGAGTTTCGGGTTTAGGGTTTAGGGAGCCCCTGAGCCGCGAAGCTTGTAGAAGGTATGCCCCACCGTCGAGACACCTGCACATGTCGGCCACGGACGCCCTCCTATCTGGATGCAGGAACCCCTAAACCCTGAACCCTGAACCCTACCCCCTAAACCCTGAACCCTAAACACTAAACCCTAAACCCTTAAACCAAACCGGAATCCCTAAAACCCTAAAATCCCAAGCACTTAACCCCGGGGCTGCATCAACTTGACACAAATATTACCGAGATTCAAAGGTGTACAAGGCGTAGGGAATAGAAAGCCTTCCTGGGACTCTTTTTGCTACCTGAAGTGTAGTACTAGCTACCCCTTAGTCAGTAGGCATAGCCCATAACACTGCGGGGAAACAGAATCCCAGGTTCCCTAAACCCTAAACCCTAAACCCTAAACCCTAAACCCTAAACCCTAAACCCTAAATAAACCCCAAATCCTACACCCTAAACCCTAAACCCCAAACCCTAAACCCTGTCTCTCCGTGGCCCGGGCCTAGTTTGCGTACTTCCACCCAACTCTGTTGAATTGACATCGTGGCGTCGTTCGAAAGCGTATCGACCTCGGCATCGTTGCGGGTTGCGGGCTCAGGGTTCAAACGCTACTCCGAAAGCCTTTCTGAAGCGCTCTACAGCCTGCCCCTTTTTGCAGCCCAACCCTATACAATCTCTACACACCCCTAAACCCTAAACCCTAAACCCTAAACCCTAAACCCTAAACCCTAAACCCCAAACCCCAAACCCTAAACCCTAAACCCTCCCTCCTCTCGTCCCGTAACAACTAGGTCCCAGAGAGTAACGAAATCCAAAAAAAAGTGCACCCTTGTTGCTTAGAAGGGCCTAAAATGGAACCGAAGCCCTATTGAAACAGGGAAAAGGGTTAAGTTAGAGCTTAGGGACCCTAAACCCTAAACCCTAAACCCTAAAACCCACATGAACGCAGAACAAGGCCGACTGTATCTCCAGCCCAGCGGCCGAGAAGCCCTCCTGGGAAGAGGCAGGCGTTTCGGGTTTATAGGGTTCAGGGTTTGGGGTGTAGGGTTAAGTGTGTAGGGTTTAGGGTGTAGGGCTGAGGGTCTAGGGTTCAGGGTTTGTAGGGCTTTGGGGTATGCCGGGGCAGGGCATATAGGCGGCCCCCCCTCATCCCAAATTTTTGACCGTTGAACCCTAAACCCACCACCAACCACTGCGGGGGAAGAGGGAAACCCTCACCCTAGCCCGCCTCAACCCAAACCACTCAACACTCAACACAAAACACCCAGCACTCAACACTCAACACTCAACACTCAACACAAAACACAAAAGACAAGAGCACAAGAGCACAAAGCACAGCACAAGCCACAAAGCACAAACTATTTTACTTCGAACATCCCCCACCCTCACTGGGTTGGGTAAAGCACCTCTGGCAACTGGCAACGCATAGCAACGGCCTGGGTTGCAAAGCTGGCACAATCTCAGACCTTGACGAATAAGTGCTCCGGCGTCTTGGGCATCGTGTCATGATTCCCAGCATCCAAATTCAGGGTGTTCACGATTTGGAGCGAGGTTGCTGTGTGACCGGAAGTGCCTGTCTGCTTCGTGGTCGCTCACGTTGGGGCCCCGATCCCTAAACCCACCACGAAGCACAGGGAGTAACAGGGGAACCCGAAACCTAAAACGCCTTAACCCTGAACCCTAAACCCTGAACCAACCCACCACGAACCATAGGGGAGTAGGACCCGAACCCTGAACACTAAACCCACCATGAAGCATGGGGGGGGGTGGGCAGAGTGCAAACCCGAAGCCACCCGACACCCTCCATGATCCAAAGGCCATGAACCAAGGTGGTGAGTGAACCCAAAGCCCACCATGAACCAACAGGGGGTCTAAGAGCAGTTGCACGGTCCCTTCACATGGACCCTGAAAAAAAAAAAAACCTAAACCCTAAACCCTAAACCCTAAACCCCTTTTTTCCTTGAAAAAAAGGGAACCCCTTTCATACCCCTTCTGTACCTTATGGGGGGGGGAGGGGTCTTCGGGGGCTTCTAGTTTTCTGCAGGACGACAGACCGCCAGCACCCCCAAACTTTGCAGTTTCGGGTTTAGGGTTTAGGGTTTAGGGTTTAGGGTTTAGGGTTGAGGGTTCAGGGTTTAGGGTTTAGGGTTTAGGGTTTAGGGTTTAGGGTTAGGGTTTAGGGTTTAGGGTTGACCCACGAACCTTGAACCATTCAGTGGTCTTAAAGCCTCTGCAGCCCAGTGTCGGGCTCTCTTGGCAAACTCGGCGCGGGAGACACCTCCTCCGTTCCTGCGCTGAGGTTGAGGCTTGCGGTTGCTGGTTTTTTGGGGGAGTTAGGGTTTAGGGTTTAGGGTTTAGGGTTTAGGGTTTAGGGTTTAGGGTTTAGGGTTTAGGGTTTAGGGTTTAGGGTTTAGGGTTTAGGGTTTAGGGTTTAGGGTTTAGGGTTTAGGGTTTAGGGTTTAGAGGGTGTCGTGGAGTTTCAAGTTGTGGAAGCGTTCGGAGCAAATGCTTAAAAACCCCAAGGGGGCGCACACATGGGGAAAAGCAAAGTACCTGAAGCTGAAACACCCGAAGCCCCAATTGAATCTAAATTAGGGTTTAGGGTTTAGGGTTTAGGGTTTAGGGTTTAGGGTAAACGTAAGCCTTATGAGCCCACAAAGCCAAAGCCCCAAAAACTTCCTAAACGCTTCACCTTCCCTTTGCTTTGCTGGCTGGTTCTTAGTAGGGAATGAGGGAATGAGGGCCCTATATACTCAAAGGGTATCCTACACCCTAAACCCTAAACCCAGAACCCTAAACCCTAAGCTAAACCCTAAACCCTGAAGCCTAAACCCTAAAGCCTAAACCCCAAGTCCCTAATTCCCTCCTAAAAAAAGGGGTTTAAGACCTTGAACCCCAGACTGGCAGGGCCCACCGAGAAATTCGCGCAGCCGCTTCTTCAGCCTGAGCTTCCGGATCGTCTGGGTTTTTCGTTGAGGTTTAGGGTTTAGGGTTTAGGGTTTAGGGTTTAGGGTTTAGGGTTTAGGGTTTAGGGTTTAGGGTTTAGGGTTTAGGGTTTAGGGTTTAGGGTTTAGGGTTTAGGGTTTCGGGTTTCGGGTTTAGGGTTTAGGATGAAAAACACGGGGCAACTTGTTCCGCATAGGGGCATCTACCTTCCTCCGAATTAGGCACTCGTGACGCTTCAGGGCGCTTCTAGTGACGCTGGGGGACCACAGGCTTTCAGAAGTCTGGGCTGCGGATGCTCGGGGCCCGTTTGATGAGAATGGCTACTTCGGGTATTACATCTTCACAGCGGCTACGAGGGGATAATGGTGGCAAGTACACGGGTTTTTATAGAGACCCTCAATCAATCCTTACTTTTGCAATAACCAGAGAGCAAACGTTACTCTTCCTTCTGAATAAGGGAACCCAAGAGTTTCAAGCTGAACTCTTGGCTAAGTAAGAACCTGGGCCTCAGGGTTTAGGCGTTTTTGGGCTCTAAAATCTCGATGTCCGGGTTGGGCTTCGTGTTCCCCTTGTGTTTCGGGGCTATACTTGGAGGTTCCTGCGTGGGGCTATAAGTATGGTAACCATACTCACAACCTTATCTAGAGCACTTATAAGGGCTTAGATAGGTAAACCCAGAGCTGAGAAAAAAAAACGAAGCCCTAAACCCAAACTCAGGTTTAGGACTCCGGGTTTAGGGTTTAGGGGGCCAGCATATTCCCAGACACGGTGCGGTCGGGACCGGTTCTATGTCTGATTGGTAGCCCAGTAGCAGTATTATAACAAGGGCACCCTTTTTGGCTAGCTTATTCTATGAGGGAACCCACCCTAAACCCTAAACTACCCTAAGCCCTAAAAGCCCCAAACCCTAAGCCCTAAAAGCCCTAAAAGCCCTAAGCCCTAGACCCTAGACTCTAAACCCTAGAGCTAAACCCTAAACCCCAAACCCCAAACCCTAAACCCTAAGCCCTAAACCCTCAGCCTAAGATGGCTTGGGGTTCCTGACTTGGCTTTTTGAAGGGTGGCTTTGCGCTTGAGGGCGGCTGCTGCCGGGGTGGCTTCAGCGCGTGGCCGGGGAGGATGCCCATGCTCTTCATGTGCTCCTCCAACAGAACGCGGTTTCGGGCGTACTCTGTAGGGTCTGGGGTTTGGGGTTTAGGGTTTAGGGTTTCGGGTTTAGGGTTTAGGGTTTAGGGTTTAAGGGTTTAAGGGTTTAGGGGTTTAGGGCTTCGTGACACCAGCAGCATGAAAGGACTAGGATGCAGACACCCCCTAAACTCTCAGCCCTGAACCCTGCAGAGCCGACCAGAAGGCCTGCTTCCACCGCATGTTCTGATGAGGGTACTTCAGTATAGGATTCAGGGGTTTAGGGTTTAGGGTTTAGGGTTTAGGGTTTAGGGTTTAGGGTTCAGGGTTCAGGGTTCAGGGTTCAGGGTTCAGGGTTTAGGGTTTAGGGTTTAGGGTTTAGGGTTTAGGGTTTAGGGTTTAGGGTTTAGGGTTTAGGGTTTAGGGTTTAGGGTTTAGGGTTTAGGGTTTAGGGTTTAGGGTTTAGGGTTTAGGGTTTAGGGCCGCCCTCCCCTCCACCCCCAGGCCACGACTCTCCTCGCGCATGTCGGAGAGTGTCTCCATCTCGTCGAACCCGTTGCGAAGCATGGCATCCACGTACCTCTTCGTTTGCTAGGATTGCCCCTAAAGCCCTCTGAAGAATCTTCCTGAATATGATCCTCTTAAACCCGAATTGCGGGAAAATGCAAAATGTCCCAAGGGGCCACCTAGTTCGGGACTTCTGTGGCTTGCGAGCGTGGCTTCAGGGCCCTTCGCGCCCTCGTTTAGGATTTCGGGCGGCGGGGCTTCGGGCTGCTGGTAGTAGCCGATTCTTTTGAGGATTCAGAAACTTCGCAAGGCTTTTCAACTTTCAACAGGTGTAAACAAAATAGGTTCTGGGTCCACAAAGCTCTAAGGAGATGGGTCACGCGAACAAGAGAACTCCAGGTTAAAGGCTTGTCAATTTCAATCCTGAACCTTGTAGCCAACAGGGCACTGGGGCAGGCCAATGTCGCAGAGGAAGCACACCACTGGATTCTGCGCCTGGCGTGTTGCCCTAACCCTAACCCCTGCCAGCATCGGACTGGCTGACCCGGCACATTTCCTGAGTGAAAAAAATGGACTTTGCTACTCCTTTGACCCTGCACAGCGAGAAAAACCTACACTCTAAACCCTGAACCCTGAACCCTGAACCCTAGACTCTAAGCCCCTAAACCCTAAACAGTAAACCCTAAACCCTAAACCCTAAACCCTAAGCGGGGTCCAAATATTCTGAGGGGAATCCTACTATTGGAGGGTTTGCATCACGGGGTCCCTTATTTTCGTAAACCACCTCAATCCAACCCTTGATCATTCATGTTCAACCCTACTTGGAGAGGTTCACTTCTTACCCTAAACCCTAAACCCCGAACCCTAAACCCTCAACCCTGAACCCTAGACCCTAAACCCTAAACCCTTAACCCTAAACCCTAAACCCTAAACCCAAACCGTAAACCCTAAGCAGTTCTGACTAGACTGGTCAGAATTGCTTAGGGTCGAGCACGCTTAGATTGGTATTTGTAGGTAACTGAGTCTTTGTGAGTAGAAAAAGTAGAGCTTCAGGGCTGATCGCTAGCTCTACTTACAGGAACCTCCAACTACCCTAAACCCTAAACCCTAAACCTTTGGCCTTTTCGACGCCCGATATGAACCCATATGAACCCTGAACCCGAAACCAGCACGTGGTTGTTTGGGGGTTTTTGAGGTGTCGGGTTTAGGGTTTAGGATTCAGGGCTAGGCCCTGAACCCTAAACCCTGAAACCCTTAGCCCCACATCAATCCTCAAACCCTCAACCCGAACCCTACAACCTTAAGCCCTAGATTCCCTAAGCCCAAGGCCGCTCGCTCCGCCCGCCTTCACGCGGTTGGAGATTCGCGAGCCTATACTGCGCAGACCCCAGGATGCGGGTAGATGCCAAAAATCTCCCAGTTTAGGGTTTACGGCTTAGGGTTTGGGCTTGGCTAAGGTTGATCTTCTAAAGGAATGTACCATACTAGAGGCCGAGAAAGGGCCAGAACTAGACCGTTAACCCACAAAGAGGATGAGCGTGCAGCAGGGTTCCAGGGTTTCCCCGTTCGCATGCCCACTTATCTAAGTACAAGATGCGTGTCAGGCTCTCACCTTCTGTCAAACAGAGACCACTTGGAGGATCACAGGACTTAGTAAGTAGGGTTATAAGTACCCCAATTGGGGGGTAGAAGTAATTGTAAAAAAAAGTTGCCCTAATTATAACCCTACTTACTAAGCCCCATGATCCTCTAAGTAGGCCCTTGGGATTTTCTTGTGTTTCCCCAAGTTGGGTTGTAGTTTGATCATACTCATTTTCAGGGCCAAGCTACTAAAGCTGGGTAACCTATAAGGTCAGGTCTCGACTTGTTTGTCCCCCTTTGTTTAGGCTCATACTGCGCCCATTGGCCATGGGTGCCGTGTGGAGTGAACAAATGTGCAGGCATAGAAACCCCCTCCGAATGTCAGTTCCACCCGAAGCCATCGCCTGTCTGTTTCTCCCTATAGTGTGTGGTCCTCCAGAGTCAACCCTGAGCCCCAAACCCTAAATCCCAAACACAAAAACCCTAAAAACTAAACCCTAAACCCTAAACCCTAAACCCTAAACCCTAAACCCTAAACCCTAAACCCTAAACCCTAAACCCTAAACCTATGGCCCGCCTCGCGTGTAGGTCGGCCGGGTAGGAGGAACGTAGGCCGGACCTGAGTGGCATCGTGGGGGTCGAGGGGGTTTAGGGTTTAGGGATAGGGTTTAGGGTTTAGGGTTTAGGGTTTAGGGTTTAGGGTTTAGGGTTTAGGGTTTAGGGTTTAGGGTTTAGGGTTTAGGGTTTAGGGTTTAGGGTTTAGGGTTTAGGGTTTAGGGTTTAGGGTTTAGGGTTTAGGGTCTCATGGTTTAGAGCCTAAGAAGCACCAGTGCTTCAGCTTGGAGGCTGAGGATTTTCAAGATGTTGTTGCAATCTTGCGCCTTTGCTTCCCCGAATTCTGAGGTTGTGAACCCTAAACCCTAAACCCTAAACCCTAATGTTGGCGTTGAAGCTTGGTTTCGGGCGTTTGGGGGTTGAGAAGCTTCGCCCCTGCTGATGGCCTGACCCGCGAACTCTTCTAAAAGGCCTACGCAGGAAGAGAAGACGCAAGCCCTGAGTTTAGGGTTTAGGGTTTAGGGTTTAGGGTTTAGGGTTTAGGGTTTAGGGTTTAGGGTTTAGGGTTTAGGGTTTAGAGTTTAGGGTTTAGGGTTTTGTTTTCAACAGGGTTTCCAAATTCATTGTTCAGGGCTTATTGCTTCTGTCCGACCTAGCTGCAAGCACCTCTTCCTGACTGCAAACCCCTGAATCTTGTAGCAGCGGCAGATCTCCATGCAGTCTCGTTACTTGGAGGTTCATGGTACTTATTAACCAGTCAGAACTGCACTCATAACCCACTTATGAGCCCCCTAAGTGCCCTAATATGGATATAAGTACAGCTATAAGTACAGTTATTATTGGCTAATAAGTACCATGAACCACCCTAAACCCTAAAGCCTAAACCCTAAACCCTAATTTGGGTTTATGAGTGTACGTACTGGCCTCATGCCAACTGACCACAAGAGCGCCCAGTTACTTGGAGGTTCTTTGGATATAACCGGGGAAATGTAAAGTAGGGCTTCTCTGATTATTCTACTACGAGTACGATTTCTGTATGATTATATTACTATTGCTATGTTTGTATTGTCTTGCATTCTTCAAAGATGATGTTTATATCTATACATTGCTATGCTACTATCTTGCTACTACATTGCTGCTAGTATCCCCGAATGGAAAACAACTACATACACCCACCAATATTCATAAGGAACCGCATATACACTCACCAAGAACAGCAATGTAGACCCTTGCTATGGAGCACTTGTAACCTTACTTCTGACTGTTTACCTTGGGATCGGCCCGGGTCCCCGCACGCGGTCGGGACGGCTGCACCGTGCTAGATAGGGTCCTCAGCAGCGGCACCATCTAGGCTAGAGGCCGTAAACCCAAAACCCCAAACCCTACATCCTTATAAACCCAAAACGTTGCCAACCCGTCCCTCGAACTCATGCCGCTCGCTCAAAAAAAGGCGATAAACCCCGAAAGCCTATGCAAATCGTACACGCTGAATCAAGCTCTATCAACCCTATAGACCCTTCCAAGCCTAAATCCGACACCCTAAACCCTACTAAACACTAAACCCTAAACCCGAACCCTAAACCCTAAACCCTAAACCCTAAACCCTAAACCCTAAACCCGAATCCTGGCCAGGGGTCTACTGTTTGAGAGTCTTTGGAGGATAAGATCCCTTTTGGCGACACCGCGGCCACAGCCCAAGGTGCGGAGTCAGGATGCTTCTTAAGATACGACAAGGGTTTAGGGTTTAGGGTTTAGGGTTTAGGGTCTAGGGTCTAGGGTCTAGGGTCTAGGGTTTACAGTAGGGTTTAGGGTTTAGGGTTTAGGGTTTAGGGTTTAGGGTTTAGGGTTTAGGGTTTAGGGTTTAGGGTTTAGGGCTTCGGGGTTAGGGTTTTGGCTTCAAGACTTAGGGCTTAGGGCAACTCATGGAGTTCTACTTTGCATAACATACGTCAGCTTCACGCTCCGACGCCCGGCTCAACACAGGTTTAGGGTTTAGGGTTTAGGGTTTAGGGTTTAGGGTTTAGGGTTTAGGGTTTAGGGTTTAGGGTTTAGGGTTTAGGGTTTAGGAATTAGGGTTAGGCAAAAGGCTAGAGAAACAAACCAGCTCCTATTTCTGAGTTCTGAGGGTGGCACGAGAAACACAGGCCAACTCCTACTGTTGAGAGCGGCACACAACCCCCGGACACTAAAACACTACACCCCGCATACTACAACCCATGTCTCTCACTCGGTCTGGACCGCAGATCACGCGACCACCGGAGTTTCAGTGGGTCACCTCTTGAGACGGAGCACGACGAGACCGTGTACTTGTTGATGACCATCTGGGATGTTTCCCCTTATACTAACAGCTCTGAATAGGGATTATAGAGGGGGGAACCATCCCAAATGACCATGACCGTGGGCCCGGGCAGCTGTCACTCAACGGAGCCACGAAACTGGCTGTTGCCCACGACTAGGGTTTAGGGTTTAGGGTTTAGGGAATACTACTCCCCCCCCCTATACTATGATTAAACTATAACGGGGGGGGGGGGGGTTCATATGAAGGGGCGGGGATTAAGCTCTGCCCCCAAACACTGCACCAGCATCACCAAATCCCATCATAGTAAACCCTAAGCAACCCAGATTCCACCCTGCAGCCCTGGTACCCCATGCCCAACCCAGAGAAACTCCAGAGCAAAGCGCCCAAACCCTAAACCCTAAACCCTAAACCCTAAACCCTAAACCCGCCCGCCACCCCACTCTCTTGTCTTTTGGGGTAGGCGGGCGCTGGTCGAGCGCTCAGTGAGACCCTGCGAGGGAGCCCCAGGCGGGCGACCGAGCTGGCCTCCAGGCAGGCTTACCCTCCAGGCAGGCACAGGCCGAGACAGCAGTAGTCACTGTATTATATTATATTACCCTAAACCCCAAGCTGTCCGCGCACATTCTTGGCTCCTGCATTGGGAGGCCCCCTGGGAAGGCCCCTGGAGACCCTGGGTCCCCAACCCCCGTCCGCTGGGCTGAGGGGACCAGGGGCCGTTTTGTTGGGGCAGGCAGGGCTCTGGCCCAAAAAAAACTCCCTTTTGGCCCTGGGCTGGCCGCCTGGCCCTGGCCCTGGCCCTGGCCCTGGCCCTGGCCCTGGCCCTGGCCCTGGCCCTGGCCCTGGCCCTGGCCCTGGCCCTGGCCCCCTGACCCCCTGGCCCTGGCCCTGGCCCTGGCCCTGGACCCTGGCCCTGGCCCTGGCCCTGCCCTGGCCCTGGCCCTTGCCCTGGCCCTGGCCCTGGCCCTGGCCCTGGCCCTGGCCCTGGCCCTGGCCCTGGCCCTGGCCCTGGCCCTGGCCCTGGCCCTGGCCCTGGCCCTGGCCCTGGCCCTGGCCCTGGCCCTGGCCCTGCCCTGGCCCTGGCCCGGCCCTGGACCGGCCCTGGCCCTGGCCCTGGCCATGGCCCTGGCCCTGGCCCTGACCCTGGCCCTGGCCGGCCCTGGCCCTGGCCCCCCCCCCTGGCCCTGGCCTGGCCCTGGCCCTGGCTCTGGCCCTGGCCCTGCCCTGACCCTAACCCTGGCCCTGGCCCTGGCCCTGGCCCTGGCCAGGGCCCCCTGCCCTGGCCCTGGCCCTGGCCCTGGCCCTGGCCCCGGCCCTGGCCCTGGCCCTGGCCCTGGCCCTGGGAGGCCCCTGGGAGGCCCCTGGGAGGCCCCTGGGAGGTTGCTGGAAACCCCTGCAAGGCCTATGAAAGGTCCTGGCAGGGTCCTGGGAGGCCTGGGAGGCCCTGGGAAGCCCTGGCCCTGGCCCTGGCCCTGGCCCTGGCCCTGGCCCTGGCCCTGGCCCTGGCCCTGGCCCTGGCCCTGGCCCTGGCCCTGGCCCTGGCCCCTGGCCCTGGCCTGTTCGAGTCATCTTACCCCCTTGCGCCAAGCCAAGCTGTCCGCGCACCGGTGCTCTGGTCCTGGCCCTGGCCTCTGGCCTGTTCGAGTCATCTTACCCTCTTGCGCCAAGCCAAGCTGTCCGCGCACCAATTTGTGTCTTGTTTCGGCGCTCTCCCTCTCTGGCTTTAGCACCCCCTTCACGCCAAGCCAAGCTATCCGCCACACCAGCCCTGTTTCCGTGGCGCTCTGCCCAACCCAAGCTGTTCACTGTGTGTTCTTCCTGGCTGGAGCCCCTTCGCGCCAACCAAGCCTCGCTGCCTTTCTCTGTTCCTGGCCCGTCCCTTGGGTTTTCACGGACCCTGCCTTGTTTCCGTCGCTTGTGACCTGACCTGGCCCGGCACCCCACCTTACCCCCTTCACGTCAAGCTAGGGGCCAAACCTTGGCCCTGGCCCTGGCCCTGGCCCTGGCCCTGGCCCTGGCCCTGGCCCTGGCCCTGGCCCTGGCCCTGGCCCTGGCCCTGGCCCTGACGAGTTTTGCGCCCTGGCCCTGGCTCTGCCCTGTCCTCTGGCCTGTTCGAGTCATATTACCCCCTTGCGCCAAGCCAAGCTGTCCGCACACCAGTTTGTGTCCTGTTTCGGGGCGCTCTCCCTGGCTTTCGCCCCTTCGCACCAACCCACTCTGTCCTGCCTCGCTTCCGTTTGCTGCAAATTTGTGCCTGGTCCTGACCCTGACCCGGCACCCCACCTTACCCCCTTCGCGCCAAGCCGAGCTATCCGCCACACCAGCCCTGTTTCCGTGGCCCTCTGCCCGACCCAAGCAGTTCACTGTGTGTTCTTCCTGGCTGGAGCCCCTTCGCGCCAACCAAGCCTCGCTGCCTTTGTCTGTTCCTAGCCCATCCCTTCATAGCCCCTTCGCGCCAACCCAAGCTGTCTTCACGGACCCTGCCTCGTTTCCGCACGCACCTTGTGGAAATCCCCAAAAAGGGCGTGAGTGCTGACTCATGTGATGCTTTGTAAAAAAAAATAAAAGGTCTTAACTCCTTGAGAGTTGTAAGTGGGCGGTCTTGGGGTGGGTAGGTCTGCATACTACCGCGCGCTCCCAAAGCGCGCTCCCGTTTGGCACGCCCTAAACCCTAAACCCTAAACCCTAAACCCTAAACCCTAAACCCTAAACCCTAAACCCTTCACCCTACCCTACCCACCCTAGCCTAACCCTAAACCCCTAAACCCTAAACCCTAAACCTCAATCCTAAACCCTAAACCCTAAACCCTAACCCTAAACCCTAAACCCACCCTAAGCCCCAGAGCCCTTCATCCCTTGAGAGCCCCGGCCCGCGGATGCTCGAGTGGGTTGGCATTGGCCGCGGCCTTGGGTTTAGGGTTCAGGGTTTAGGGTTTGGGGTTTAGGGTTTGGGGTTTAGGGTTTGGGGTTTAGGGTTTGGGGTTTAGGGTTTGGGGTTTAGGGTAAACTCCCAAAAGTCCGCCGACCCTGGCGGCGTGTTGGATAGGTTTCTGAGGTGAAAACCTCCCTTTTTCCCTCCTTACCCCCCCAAAACGCAGGGGGGGGGGGGCAGCTTTTCCGTGGAGGGCCAGGCCACCCACACCGCGTAAACTCATGGACCATAGGCTGTTTCGCACAGTGCATAGGGGCTTTTTTTCAAACCACCTCCCCGACCCCCCCCCCCCCCCCCCCCCCCCCCCCCCCCCCACCCCCCCCCCTCCCCCACCCCCCCCTTTCCGACCGCCCCCGCCCCCCCCCTGCCTTTCTCCCCCACACAGGATCGTAATCAAGCATCAAAAGAGGGCCACCCACACCTGCTACCCCCCCCCCACCCAAACACGGGTGCTGGGTCTGCAACAAATTGCCCCAAGCTGCTTCAGCTCCGAAACTGTTTGGGTCCTGGTGCTACCTCCTACCCCCCCCCACGTTTCACAGAGGCGCGAGCGTTTCACAACTTTTTGGGATTCTGCCGAGCAGGCTGCGATGCTCTTCGAACCATGCGATGAGGAAAGCATCCTTTGAGCCGACGAGCGGGTTTAGACCTTTCAACTATGCTCTGGCGGGGTCGGCGGCTTGAGCCGGAGGCTCTTAAGTTGGAATGGAGTTTCTTTCGGCGTTGTCCCGCCAGCGTTCAAGGGAGTGGAGACTGTCGTCTCATCCCACTTGGCTTAGGGCTTAGGATTTAGGGTTTAGGGTTTAGGGTTCACATGGTGATGTACAGCTAGTGGCCGGCAGCTTTGGCAAAGAATCCATACAGCTTTGCCAACAACTTGGCCTGTGACATCATGAAAACACCATCACATGTCTTGAACAGTCGTGAGATGGTTGACGAGTCCACGCCACGCTGCTAAGCACCTGGATGAACTTGACAAACTGAATCGTGCGAACGAAGCGGTTGCTGGAAGACTTCTGCAACATGATTTTCGCACCGCCACAAGGACAGGCTAAATGTGGACCGTCCTTTAACCAAAGCTGCTCGGGCTTTGAGGACGTTTAAGGTTTTCGGGTTCCCTAAACCCCAAAACCCAAAACCCAAAACCCAAAACCCTAAACCCTAGGGTCTCCTTAGAGAAGCTTGATATAGACTGTGAAACAAGCCAAAGGGACCCAACTGCGATATAGGTTTCTCCAGGAAGGGCTTCTCTGAGGGTCTCGGGTGTTCAGACTAAAGCCCGAAACCGCTTCGGGCTTGGGATTTCGGGTTTAGGGTTTAGGGTTAGGGCTTAGGGCTTGAGATCTAGGGTTTAGGATGTAGTGCTTCAACTCACCCAGCCTGAATCCGAAAGTCTGGGCGTCGTTTTTGGGGGCCCCGGTTCGAGGGTTGTTTAGGCTTAGGGCTTCAGGACACCCAAAAAAATCACACCCTACAACCTGAAGCCCTAAAATCCCGAAGATCCTAAAGCCCCGAACAAAATCTCCCTATTGACTAAAACATCCTTGAAATTGAAAAAAAACAAAAGCTACAAGCCCTAGGCCCTAAAGCCACAGGCCCTGAGCTCTAGCCCCCAAACCCTATATAAGACAAACCTGAACTGTAACCCTAAACCCTGAAACCCTAAATCCTGAACCGCAAAGGGAAACAAAGAGTTCTCGACGAAGTGGCCCTTGGGTATGGAGGGTTGTCGTCTCCTGGGGGTTTTGGGGGGTTGAGGCTTAGGGCCGAGGGTTTGGGGGGATTTAGGCTTTAGGGTTTGGGGGTTTGGGGGTTTGGGTTTAGGGTTTGGGGTTTGAGGTTTAGGTTTGGGGCTGAGTTTTTTTCGGTGTTTGGGACATACCTGGCTGGATTACCCCCCCCCCCCCCTAACAGAAGGAAGCACGTGCGTGGCAAGTCTGAAGGGTACCCTCACAACACTTCTTGGCATGGTGGGTGGCGAGGGGGAGGATTGTAATGTAAAAGGGAATAAGTGCCTACTCCAGGGCTAAAAGGGGGGGGAAGGGGTTGGGGGCTCCCTAAACCCGAAACCTTGAGGCTACGGTATGGGGTTTCGGGTTTGGGGTTTCGGGTTTAGGGCAGGTCTCTCAAACCCTCCGAAACCCGCCAAATCCTGAATGCTTAACCTCAATGGGGGGTTTACATAGGGGACCTCTAAAAAAGCCCCCCACCCCCCGCCCCACATAGCAGGTTTCCCTTATAATGCGGACCCCAATGAGGTACCCTATTTCGGGAACCACCAAATCCCATTAAAGAGGTCTTAGGGTCTTCTGAGTCTTCCGGGGTATTGCTGGGTTTGCGGTTTAGGGTTAAGGGGCTAAAAGAGCCCTTTTGGCCCTAAACCCTAAACCCTAAACCCCAAACCCTAAACCCTAAACCATAAGAGCCCTTTTGGCCCCAAGCCCCCCAAAAGAAACGCCGGCCCAGTCGTGCAGCCTGTCGAGGCGGGCGCACGGAGCGAGGCGATGTCTCCCGGATCCTGGGCGTGTGTCTTGGGTTTAGGGTTTAGGTTTAGGGTGTAGGGTAAGGGGGTTTAGGGTTTAGGTTTAGGGTGTAGGGTCTTAGGGTTTAGGGTTTAGGGTTCAGGGTTTAGGATTTAGGGTTTAGGGTTTAGGGTTTGTGTTTAGGCTTTAGGGCAAGGGGGTTTAGGGTTTAGGATGTAGGGTCAAGGGGTTTAGGGTTTAGGGTTTAGGGTTTAGGGTTTAGGGGTTAGGGGTTAGGGTTTAGGGTTTAGGGTTTAGGGTTTAGGGTTTAGGGTTTAGGGTTTAGGGTTTAGGGTTTAGGGTTTAGGGTTTAGGGTTTAGGGTTTAGCGTTAAGGCTCAGAGTTTGGGGATTTAGTGCTTGGGTTCTATTCAGAGTTTAGGGTCTAAGGCTTTTGGCTCGGGGTCAAGGTCTTGAATGGGTGAAGGAGGGTGGGTACTCGGAACTCTTCTGCGGCTTACAACCCAAGCAAAGCTAAATTGCCAGGGTTTAGGGTTTAGAGCCCTAAACCCTAAACCCTAAACCCTAAACCTTAAAGCCTAAACCCTAAACCCTAAACCCTAAATTCAAGCTCAGGATCCCTCAGCCCGAAACCCTGGAACCCCTAAGCCCTGCAAACCTTTGAGCCGTCAGTCCTGGACACCCTTCATCCCTAAGCCCGAAGCCCTAAGCCCTAATCCCTAAACCCTAAACCCAGTATCCTGGGACTAAAAAAGGGTGCCCTTATTCTGCTTAACATGGGTTCATAAGCCTAAACCCCTCAAGAGGGGACAAGGGTACTGCTGGGCAGCTCTATGGCCTTACTTGAAGAGGTTCATGGGTAGTTGCAAGTAGGGTGATAAGCATAGTAACTGCAACGATAACCTTATGTAGGGTACTTATAACCCTACCTATAACATCCTATAACTACCCCTGAACCTCCACGTAACACTCCCTAAACCCTAAACCCCAAACCCCAAACCCTAAACCCTAAACCCTAAACCCTAAAGGCCCGCCAGCAGTGCGGCCCGAGCATCTGCGGGGTGAAGCGGCGGTCCTGCCAGGGGCTTCGGGGCTCAGGGCCTTAAGGGTCGTTTAGGGGCGTATAGGGCTTAAAGAGAGAGCTTGGGGCTTCCCTTATTTCGGGGTTAAGGTTTAGGGTTTAGGGTTTAGGGTTTAGGGTTTAGGGTTTAGGGTTTAGGGTTTAGGGTTTAGGGTTTAGGGTTTAGGGTTTAGGGTTTAGGGTTTAGGGTTTAGGGTTTAGGGTTTAGGGTTTAGGGTTTAGCCTGCAACAACTCCTGGTGGGGGTGTTGGGCCTTGTGTTCGCTATTTGCCGTCCCGAAGCTTCCCCTACTTGGAGGTTCATGGGTAGTTGCAAGTAGGGTTATAAGTATGGTAACACTACAACCTTATTTAGGAGACTAACCGTACTTAACTACCATGTACCTCGCAGCAGGCACCTCCCCCCACCCCCCCTTGGAACCAGGCCCTGATAGGATCCCATCACCTGATCAAACTCCACGCAGCACTGGACCCACCCTTTAGGGTTTAGGGTTTAGGGTTTAGGGTTTAGGGTTTAGGGTTTAGGGTTTAGGGTTTAAGGGTTAAGGGTTAAGGGTTAAGGGTTAAGGGTTAAGGGTTAAGGGTTAAGGGTTAAGGGTTAAGGGTTAAGGGTTAAGGGTTTAGGGTTTAGGGTTTAGGGTTTAGGGTTTAGGGTTTAGGGTTTAGGGTTTAGGGTTACTTTCCTGGGACTCTGTCTCGCATGCCCTACAACGAGGCCGAAATCTAAGCCCCGAGATTCGCCACAAAACCCCGGGAATGCTAGCCGGACCCTTGCAGCCTGGCTTGATTGGTTTGTCCTTTCTGATGCAACCTGCAAACCCTGCGAAGTGGGCTTGGAGTTTAGGGCTCAAATCTCCTCACCCCCTCTTGCTCGCCACAGCCCCACACACACACCCGTCCGCAAGGCTACGTGGCTGGTGCATGGCACGCAAAGAAGAGGTCGCCGAGCTCCTCAGTTGCTGTGGGAAGGTGGTGGCTTCTGGCCGTCTGGCAGGTTGCTGAAGGGCACAGCCCTAAGCACGAAAGTTTCCCCAAAGTCTTAGGGCGCGCGGCTGGGTCATAATTACTGCGACTCTTCTACAGCTTAATCGCAACCACCTCTGAACTTTCGTAGGTAAAGCCATAAAAACCTGTCGGCAGATAAAGTCCAAGGATTCAGAAGCTTGCGCCTGGAGGGCGGGTGCGTTTTTAGAACTAAGCCGGCCAAACCCTGAACACCCAAGACACTCAGGAGTTACAGTAGGGTGTGGGTTGTAGCTCCAAACCAAACACTTTGTTTAGCGGTTCAGGGTTTAGGGGTTCGGGTCCCCCAGAATTTCTTTTGGACTGGAGTTGGCGGGGGGAGGCGGTTGTCGTTTCCGGGCTTGCAGCTTGCAAACAAGCCTTTCTGACTCCTTTAGGGTCGATAGGGTTTCGAGCTTCGGGGATTTCAGGCACTTAGGGCCTTGAGCAGCCCTAAACTCTAAACCCTAAACCCTAAACCCCAAACCCTAAACCCCAAACCCTAAACCCTAAACCCTGAAGACTCCTTGCTCACTGCCGGCCGAGCTGCGATGTGGCAAGGAGGCCCACGGATGCGAGGTGGAACAAATCGAAACGCTGCGCAGCGAAGCCGAGACCCCCCAAAAATGCAACAAAAAACCCTAAACTGGGGTACCCAGAGACTCCAAAACCCCTTAATTAAGGAATAGACCTTAAATTTTCATAGGAACCCTAATATGATTTAAGGTAGATTCCTTAATTAAGGGGTTTTGGAGTCTCTGGGTAGGCTTTGGGGGCCCTATAAAAAAATCACATTTGTATGGCTGTATAATAAGGATTACATAAGGGACTAAGGGTAAGAACAAACTTTAAAAATGATGTTCTGACCTACCCCCGTAAACCCTAACCTTAGATCGACGCCAGAACATCAGCCCTGGACACTAAACCCTCAACTCAAGAATCCCTTAGCCCTGATCCCCAAACCCTAAACCCCAAACCCTACACCCCAAATCCTAAACCCAAACCCCAAACCCCAAATCCCAAACCCTAAACCCCAAACCCTAAACCCTAAACCCCAAACCCCAAACCCCAAACCCAGACCACGAGCATTTTCTCGCTGTCACCGCACCGGGCTCCGGGAGCTGTGGTGCCGCTTCGGCCTGTCCCAGCTTCAGATCGTAAGGTTTAGGGTTTAGGGTTTAGGGTTTAGGGTTTAGGGTTTAGGGTTTAGGGTTTAGGGTTTAGGGTTTAGGGTTTAGGGTTTAGGGTTTAGGGTTTAGGGTTTAGGGTTTGGGGTTTGGGGTTTGGGGTTTGGGGTTTGGGGTTTTGGGGTTTAGGGGTTTGGGGTTTGGGGTTTAGGGCTTAGTGCTTAGGGCTTAGCGTTTCGGGTTTAGGGTTCAGGGTTCAGGGTTCAGAGTTAGATTCGGGTTTAGGCTTCAGGGCTCAACGACTGCGGTCCCTCAAGTTGTCGGTGGTGCGTAGGCTATAGGTAGGGGCTTGCGGTTCGGGATTCAAAGGCATGCCCCGCAACTCTAGAATTTGGGAGAACAAAAGCCTAAACCCTAAAACCTAGACCCTAAACGCTAAACCCTAAACCCTAAACCCTAAACCCTAAGCCTAACCCCTAAACCCTGGGATCTTCGGGGGGTATTGGTAGCAGTTTTTTGGGGCATATGCCGGGGCTGCAACCAACTAAGACATTGGAGGTTTAAGGTCGGTTGGGATCCCTAAACCCTGGCCCCAAACCTTAAGCCTGAACCCTGAACCCTTTAACTCCTAAAACCCTAAACCCTAAACCTCTCTATCAAAATGAATTTAAACCCTAATTCAAAAGTGGGCAACGGTGATTTTCGGCCTCAAAAGTGGGCAACGGTGACTTTCCGGGCCTCAAAAGTGGGCAACGGTGACTTTTCGGGCCACAAAAGTGGGCAACGGTGACTTTCCGGGCCTCAAAAGTGGGCAACGGTGACTTTCCGGGCCTCAAAAGTGGGCAACGGTGACTTTCCTGGCCTCAAAAGTGGGCAACGGTGACTTTCCGGGCCTCAAAAGTGGGCAACGGTGACTTTCCGGGCCTCAAAAGTGGGCCGGTGACTTCCGGGCCTCAAAAGTGGGCAACAGTGACTTTTCGGGCCTCAAAAGGGCAACGGTGATTTTCGGCCTCAAAAGTGGGCAACGGTGACTTTCCGGGCCTCAAAAGTGGGCAACGGTGACTTTCCGGGCCTCAAAAGTGGGCAATGGTGACTTTCGGCCTCAAAAGTGGGCAACGGTGACTTTCCGGGCCTCAAAAGTGGGCAACAGTGACTTTCCTGGCCTCAAAAGTGGGCAACGGTGACTTTCCGGGCCTCAAAAGTGGGCAACGGTGACTTTCCTGGCCTCAAAAGTGGGCAACGGTGACTTTCCGGGCCTCAAAAGTGGGCAACGGTGACTTTCCGGGCCTCAAAAGTGGGCAACGGTGACTTGCCGGGCCTCAAAAGTGGGCAACGGTGATTTTCGGCCTCAAACTCCGACCCCCCCTTGATGGGGAAAGTTTGCCTCCAAAAACACCCCAAATGAGGGGGGCCCCAGGATCGGCCCGGGTCCCTATTAAAAATGCGATTTTTTAGTACTGAAATCGACGGTTCTGGGTGGCCTCGTTTTCTGGGTTTTTGCCCACGAGCCTTCACCGATAGGGGCTTCTAATCCGTAGGGTTTAGGGCCCTAAGAGCATAAAGGGCCTGTTGTGGGCCTTAGATTAGATTCCGGGTTTTGGGTCCGTTAAAAACTAACTACTGGGAATGTATGGAGTGAACTTTGTATTTTCTCAATGTTATGGGTTTCTTGGGTGGGTGGGTTTTTTTTCCAACGCTTGACAAGCTGCTTGACCAGTGAATGCTCGGACTTGAGATGCTGAACCCTAAACCCTAAACCCTAAATCCTAAACCCTGAACCCTGAACCCTGAACCCTGAACACTAAACTCACCGTGAGTCGTGGACCTCTAAAACACGGTGAACCCCGAACATGGCTCTTACAACAAGAGGAGGAGTTTGGGGGCGAAGCCTCAAAGGACTTTGGGGCTTAGGGCTTAGGGCTTAGGGCTTAGGGCTTCGGGCTTAGGGCCTGGGGCCTAGGGCCTGGGGCCTAGGGCCTAGGGCCTAGGGCCTCGGGCCTCGGGCCTAGGGCCTAGGGCCTAGGGCCTAGGGCCTAGGGCCTAGGGCCTAGGGCTTAGGGCTTAGGGCTTAGGGCTTAGGGCTTAGGGCTTAGGGCTGCTCAGCCGAAGTCCCCCCAAGCACCTTCAGCCCCCACAGAAGGATGACCCGAAACCCTCAATGACTCAAAGCCGCACCCTGAGACCCTAAACTCTATACCCTAAACCCTAAACCCTAAACCCTAAACCCTAAACCCTAAACCCGCCAAAATCCGTCGGACCGTCAGTCCTGGTCCCATCGCGGAGGAGGGCGCGAGAGGAGGTGCTGAGAACGGGCCCACCCATCTCCTGCAATGCTCTGACCGAGGGCTCACTGAGGGTTTGGGAGGGTTTTGGGTTTAGGGTTCAGGGTTGAGGGTTCAGGGCTCAGGGTCAAGGAGGGTTTCGTGTTTGGTGTACTTATCACACCACCTAGAAGCACCCGTGAACCTTCAACCCGAAACCCTAAACCCTAAACCCTAAACCCTAACCCTAAACCCTAAACCCTAAACCCTAAACCCTAAACCCTAAACCCTAGGCCCTAAAGCCTAAACCCTAAGAAGTACATCCGGAAATGGTGCGACGGCCTTCGACCGGTACCGCCGCTTTAGCTCCATGAAGCGCATGGCATGGTCCGCGATCACTCCGGGGTCCTAAGTTCAGCTTGTTCTCAGGGGGTTTAGGGTTTAGGGTTTAGGGTTTAGGGTTTAGGGCCGGAGATTTGTGGGCTGAGGGCTTGAGTTCCTAAACCCTAAGCCACGTTCAAAACATGGATCATGCATGGTCAATGCTTGGGTGGGACACCAAACCCGTCGGTGCGTGGCCGGCCATAGGCCAGGGTTGTAGGGTTCTTGTTTGGGCTTAGGGTTTAGGGTTTAGGGTTTAGGGTTTAGGGTTTAGGGTTTAGGGTTTAGGGTTTAGGGTTTAGGGTTTAGGGTTTAGGGTTTAGGGTTTAGGGTTTAGGGTTTAGGGTTTAGGGTTTAGGGTTTAGGGTTGAGGGTTTAGGGTTTAGGGTTTGGCATACTCCTACAGTACCAATTTCGGAGGAGCGTCGGCTGAGCGAGCAGTGGCCGGGTCGCAGAACGCATCCGTGACCTGCATGCGGCTTCCAGGGGCTTAGGGTTTAGGGTTTAGGGTTTAGGGTTTAGGGTTTAGGGTTTAGGGTTTAGGGTTTAGGGTTTAGGGTTTAGGGCTTTCATGGGCCGTTCGGGCAGTTTTTTGTTACGGGATGCGATGAGGGCTGAGCGTGCCCACTGAGCTTTATGCTGCGCCAAGTTGCACAGAACCTTATATGGGTATCTGACCTGTAAGCCCTTCAAACCGTATAAAACTCCATGAAGGCCCAAAGGTCACGACAAAGCCTACAATAAACCCCTAAAGCCCTCAAAACCCTGTCTGGAAAACCCTCCTACTCCTAAGGCTCCGGAAACTCCTGAAGCCCCAAAGCCCTTAAAACCCGATGAGCCCCTACAAATTCCATATGCCTTACAAAGCCTGTATTGCATAAAACCTAAACACCACAAACAAAAAAGCATAATGAAGCTAATAAGACCTAAGCAGCCCTGTTCGAATGCCCTATTAAGGCCGATCAAGCCCTGTAAGCCCCGAACACCCAGCCTGTGAACCCCACACCCTAAGCTCCTTAACTTAGACCCTCAAGCCTCTGTAAACCTAGATCAGAAAGCCCGAAAACCTGCGTCAAGTTACAGGCTCCTTAAGGGAGGGGTTCAAGGGGGGGGGGGGTTATGTAACCCCAGTTCCCTAATACTCCCCACGCC